TTTTTTTTTATTCGAAAGATATTCATCTTGAAATTCCATTAGAAAAGAATATCACAAATAAAAGGCAAATATAGTGTCCTCTTATAGAGTAGTCAAGGAATTCCCAAGCAGGAGTATGGTTTAATTATATGTGATCAACATGCCAACCCTCTTTAGTGTTGTCAAATCCATGTTCTTGATGATGACTTACCAAAAATAATTTTCAATAGTCGATGCTCCATAGAGTGTTTAAGGCACAAGCCACTCTCTCCCAGGGAATCAATGATTTTTACAACTGGAAAAAACATTATCAGCACTGGCGTGGTAGACTGTCTGCCGAGGATAAATATGAAATGTTTAAGTGAATTTGATGCTGGAAGGAACCGGGTTAAAAAACATTATCTACAGGATGCTGTCACTTCTGACTGAAATGTTAATTTCTAAATTCAATATTTCACTATTTTTTTTAATATTTTTAAATTATTTTAATATACTAATAATAAAAATAATTTTTAAATAAAAATAATTCTGAATTGCTAATTTCTATCACCCTCCCGAGCACTGCTCACATAAATAGCATGACGTCATTCCTTTACTATAAGGTAAAGGTTCCAATACCAAAATACAAAACAATCCCTAGAAATCATAATATCCTAATTCCATCCCCGGAATAATAGCAAATGGCCGGAAATCAGGAAACATTCTCAACTGTGTTAACAAACTTTCAGGATCTACTTCAATTTTCTTAAGAGAATGGAAAATAGTGAATGGGATCCTCGTTAGCTGCGGGCAATCACCCACGGTAATTTCTTCGAGAGAATTGCATTGAAGTCTTCCAGAATAAATGCTTCTCAAATTCGGTAATTTCTTCAATACCAAAACCCTCAATGTCGTATTAAAACTACCAGAGAGAGAGAGAACTTCACCACTTCCCATTATCTCCTGCATGTTGTAACAATCTTCAACTACAATCACTTCCAATCGGAGTGTAGACAACAACCAAGGAGGGAGCAGCACCTTCATCATATGACATTTATGTATCACGATCTCTCTGAGATTGTAGAAGACACCAGCAGCACGTAGCTCTGAAGGTTCTGCTTCAAAAAGGGTTTCTAAGATCATCAAACCATCAAGGTGTAGAATCTGAAGCCCTCCAATTACAAATGATGGACCTAAGGTTCCCATGTTTTGACAACTCACAAAAACTACTTTTGGAATGAAGCACGGGGACAGAAAAGTTGCATTGTCAATCATGAGGTCATAAAACCAAGCCTCTTTAATTAACCCTGACTTCGATCTTGTATAATTTAGATCTTCGAGTGAAGAGAAACAAGGTCGTCCTACAGTAACCTTGCATGCAATTAGTGAAAATATCAGTTCTCGGAAGTCTATGAAATCGTCTAGATCTCGGAAGTTGCATTCCAAAGTTTCCAACCAATGTAATCTGGAAACTTCATCTCCTCTAACAGAGAGAACAACTTCAGATTTCTGATGAAGCTTGAGGAACTGTAATTTTGAGAGTTGGGGTAAAATACCGGACCGTAAAACACGCACCCCACTTCCATCAAGATTAAGATACCTGAGATCTTCCAGCCTTTCCATTCCCTCGGGCAAATCTTCAAGTCCAGTGTAACTGAGATCCAACTTCTCCAATGCCGTAAGCTCTGCTAATGATGGTACATAACTCAGCTTTGCACACCATCCCAGCAACAATGCAGCGAGACTCGTCAGATGACAAATAGATTCCGGCAACTTCTCTATATCTGTGTCGGAAAGATCAAGAACCTTGAGTCCGATGAGGTGCTGGAAAAAAGAATCCTCGACCAAATTCAATTTGTAGTTTCTGCATAACAATAATGTTGAGAGACGGGGGCACATTGGTGAAAAGCCCGTTGGAATATTCTCGATTCTATTTTCCATGAGTGAAGCTCTTAACAGTTCCTCTCTCCACAATCTTACATCGGGTAATTCTGTTAGTTGTGCACCTGCTTGAACCATAGCCCCCCCACTTTCGTTCAATATTTTCCAAGCCATATCCCAAATCAAATCATGCATCTTGACATATCTGTAATCTTCATCGTCCCTGGAACCTTCTAATAAGCTGGCCTCTTCAAGTTCATCAAGCATGGTATGGCCCCTATCAAATTGTGCATGCCTTCTCACCATTTCTTTGACTATCCCCTCGTCAATCAAATACTCTATCAAGTCCTCTCTCAAGATGATCTTGCCTTTTGGAAATAGTGTGATACGTAAGAAGCACTCTTGAAGTGCTGAATAGTTCAACTGAGCATAGCTAAATTTCAATACTCGAAATACATTGGCTTCCATCTCACCCGGTCCAACTTCTAATCTTCTCAGTTTTAGCAATGCATCTCTCCAACGATATTCACCATCCACTCCCTTCATGCTTCGAGCCATTGTTATGATTCCAAGGGGCAAACCATCACACTCCTTCACAATAGACTCTGCGATCTCAGGATAAAGTACACCACGCCCTAATCTGTCTTTGAACAGATCCCAAGCCTCATCCTTAAAAAGAGGCTCCAGTTTGATTATCTTTCGGCAATCCATTTTTCGACATGTGTCCAATGATCTAGTTGTAAGAATCAGCTTACACCCATCTGTTTTAAGAGGTATTCCCACTTTATCAAGAGGAAAATGATTCCACAAATTATCAATAATTAAAACACATTTTGTCACACTCAATGTTGTCCATAGCTCCCCGGCTCTATTCACCAGATCTTTTCCATTCCCAAGATATAAACCAAAAGCTTCGGCAATGAGATCCTGCAATGCGTGAACGCTAAAATCTTGAGGCACAGAAATCCAACAAACACGAGGAAAAATGTCTGGTTTCTCTTGAAGCTGATTGTGGATATGCGTAGCCAAAGCTGTCTTTCCCACCCCCCCCATCCCCCAAATGCCAATGCATGAGACCTCATCATTCAACAACCAAGACCAGACATCCTTCATGTTTCTTTCCATAGCTTGGCCCACTAGCTTTGTTGTCGGCAATACATATCTTCCAGTCCTACGTTTCTTATGTACAGGCCTTTTAGAAGACGGTTGTCTCTCAACAACAGACTGCATCAATTCCGGACTCGTGGCCAGTCTACCAATTCTTAACTCAAAATCCCTCATTGATGAGGATGAGATGTTATTCAAGTTCATTTCAAATGACTGATGTGCTTGCTCTGTTCTTTGTCTAGTCTCGGGTTCATATGGCATAAGAATGACAGGAGCTCTAGGTTCCTCGACAAGCTCAGTCTCCCCCCCAATCAGAAAACCCTTCTGTCCTCGTTCATCCGAAAGAGGTTGTTCTTCTTGTTCCATTTCTAAGCCCCGCAAAGCAGTTGAAGCTGCCTTAATTGCCTCGCTATTGCTTGAACTTGGCACACTCTTATCTACAGGCATTTTAGAACAGCTTCCTCTCTCGGTACCAGCCCGCATCAATTCCCGACTCTCTATACCACTGCTTAACTCAACATCCCTCGTCAATGAAGATGTGAAGTTATTCATATCCGTTTCAAATGCTTGAACTGCTGGCTCTATTCCCAGTCCAGTCTCAGGTGCATCGGGCATATGCATGCCAAGAGCTGCGTTTTCCTCGGTAAACACAATCTCTCCCCCAATCATCTCATACATCCATGACAGTCCATCATCCAAAGGAGATTGTCCTTGTTGTTGCATTTCTAAATCTTGCGCAGGATCTGAATCTGCAGTAACTATTATATTATTGCTTGAACTTGGCATACTCCCACGCATTCTGTCAGGAAGCTTACCAAACGCTGCTTGTTGAACATGTGGAGATACTTTTTCACAAATTTTGACACCACCACCTCGAACTCTTGCCAGATGATATTTCATCCTTGTAGTGGAAGTACTTCCAGCCAATGTCTTCTCACAAAAAATGCACTTCAATAAACCACCATCCACTTCCTCAAAATATCTCTGAAATGGATCACTTCCTCCAGCCATTTTTTCTTCTGTGTCCCTACCTACAGACATAACAAAGAACTTTCAGAATATTGAATTAAAATGGAACTTAAACTAATTGAAAAAAGAAGAAGCTAAGTTTAAGATAAAAAGAAAAATTGATTACAGGTGTTTCACTGTCTAAACCAAAGTCAAGTTAAACCACTCCAAAGATCAAAGTGTTCTTTTCTTTTTACTTTCCCAATAATTCTACAACTGGTCATATCAGTAATTTAATAACCAGTATGTTTCTTTTTGCTTAGAATAATCAAACTACATGACTTGGAAAAGAAATGGTATGAAAAAAGAGCTAAAATTAATCAAACTTAATTACCTGAACAGCAGAAGCAGCAAGATGTTATACAATGGTTTGATTAAATCAGAAAAAAGAAGATGCACGGGGAAGAGTAAGTGTGCTGGAGACGAGTGATAGAGCTTCGGCTTGTGCGGTTGTGGATAAGGATAGATTCAGACAGTCAGAGAAGCAGATGACAGTGAAAAAAAGCTAAATGGACTTCTGTCGTTCATGGATGTCATATGGACATGTTGTTGGTCTTCCAGGAAGCGGATCTGGCGAGGGGTGCTATAGTGAAGGCGTGGGGGTAGGCGGTGGCTGATGATAGTCTGCTCGTGTGGTGGACAGCACGCCAGCTTTGAAACGATGAGAAAGAGCACGATCCACCACAAAACAGCAGAAGAGAAAGCAGCAGGCCGAGAGAGGAAAAGAGAGCAGGAGCAGAGTTGACCAACAGAGAGGTAGAGCTTGTTAAAGCAATTCAATTAATATAAAATAAATAAAAACTTGTATAAGAAGGGTAGAATTTTTTTTTTAAAGCATATATTTTAATCTAAATATAAAATAATTATATATAGAATAAATTAAAAATATTTTTTATTTTTAATAAAAAAATAAAATAAATATATATTTTTTAAGATTGTCTCAAACTCACCGTGTGCTAACTACAAATATTGAAAATATACCAACTAAAAAATTACAACTTAGTAAAAAAATTTACAATCAGTAAAGAAAAAAAAACAAAAAACAGAATAATAATATTTTACTTGAGATGATAACAATTAAAATAATAATTAATCTCAATATATTAAATTTAATCATAAAAAATTAAATTGTGAATAATATAAATAAAACTCTAATTATCAAAATTTACATAAATAGAATAAATTTTTTTTATTGAACTCCTATCAAAAAAACAAATTTACCAATACAAATATCTTTTCTTCTTCTTCTTCTTTTTTTTAGCTAGAATGTAATTATCAAATCATTTACTCTCTCCTAAATCTTTTCCGATAACTTTTTTTTTCAATATCTCAAAATTAAAATATAAACTAAATAAAGTTTAATAATAAAACATTAATCTTTAAAACAATAGGAATCAAATAACAAAAAAATTTGAAACTTCAAAGATTAAATTAAAATTTTTCACGTCAAAATCTGAAAGGTTGTTAAATTTCGTTTTTATTTCTTTTAATTTTTTATTTTAAACTACAATTAAATTTTAAATTTACAAAATGAGAACCAGACTCAAATTTAAATATCCTTATTAAAACCAAGCGTGCAGGAGATAATGTAAATCAAAAGAAATACAAACAAATGATACCATGATAATATAACTCTAAAGGATAAAATTATAAAAACCAAAAGATCAATAATCAAAATAAAAAATACGTTGTTCTTACTAACAGATGAATCCACAATAAAATAAGTGTTCAATCAAATCCACGACGAAAGCATGAACATTGTTTGGTGCCATAGTAAAAGATCCTTATGTTCAAGCTATTTCTGTAATAATCTCTAACTGTAATTTGAGTTCGTCACCCAATTGTAAGCTACACGTTCGTCTGTGATTCTCAGTTTTCTATTCAGACATTCTGTGAATAGTCAGTCAAAGTGAAATACAAGAAAACAAATCCCTCTCTCCTCTGCCCGCTCTGTAAACTCTCCTTTTAGGTAGCCATGACTGCGGCCACCAAGAAACACCTACCCTCCTCCGCTAAGCCACCCAAGAACCACCACTCCACCCCCAACACCACCACCACAAAAAAATGCAGAAGAGGTTGCTACCTCGACAGTGCAGACCGTCGTCAATGCATTCGTATGTAACACTTGATGATTAAGTTGCATCACTTTGATTCATAAGACCGTATATAACTTGTGATTTGAGGTGGTTCCATATATTTTTTCTGGCCTCCTTTTCAATTTTTCGTTTTTTTGGGCATTAGCACAATATTGCACTGTCCCCAGATGTTAATGTACAAATTGTGAGCATCCATTACCTGTGGATTCTACTATAGTGCACTGATCATAAGATTCATTCATGTTCACATTGTAAAATGTTCTGACTATAATGTGGTTTAAGGTAGTTGGACAGATTCGTTGGTCTTTTGCAATTCAGGTTTGACACAGTGAAACGTTTGGTTCATCTTAACCTGACCATGGATATACATTAATTAGTTCAAGTCACATTATTAAATTGTGTGCGCTATTTTCTATTTTCTTTCGCATTTACTGTTGCGTATACCATTAGAATTCGTTTTTAACCTAAATTCTCGACAGATATTGGTATAAGCTACTGGCGATGGATACCCTACCTAGTGATAGGTGCGAGTTCTCTTTCTGCATCTCACCTTGTTTGTGTGTTCTTACGAGTTTTTTTAAACGACATGTTTGTGAAATAAGGATTGTTGTTTCTTGAATAGTAATTTTAATTTTGTTCACCATTTTCTGCAGGTTACCTCGGCTCTATATCCTTTTTATTTGGTAAGAGATTCCTTCATTTCTTTAGTTTCGCAACATATTTCTAGTGCAGACAACAAATAAGATCACAAAACTTGATTGTTTTCTGGAAATTTCCTACACAGCACTACTTCAATTTTTGGATTTTTTTTTGTTCTGAACGTGAATGATGAACTGAAATGCGAAGAAGACTGAAGAGAAACATTGCATTTGCTTTGTTAAAGCCAATAGGCGGTCAACACGTGGCAGATACATGGCTATTTTTTCTTGCGAGTAAAATCGCTAAATCGGTGGTGAAATCGCGATTTTACGTGATTTCACCCGATTTTAACGATTTTACCTGATTTTGATCCGATTTTATCCATTTTTGAGTTTTACAAGTGATTTAATACGTAAAGCCTACATCAACTCGTAAAAATGTACGATTTTACGAGTTGAATCACGATTTTGACAACCTGTGATAAACTTGCAAGATAAATAAATAATTTTTTTTAAAGTATTGGTTCCGCCTGCTGCAGTGATAAATAAATAATTTTTCATATCCCGCGTCTCACACGACATTTAAAGCAACGACAAAAGTTTGAGCTCTTTCTTTTGATCTGTTCATTGGTTCTCGAGCCAGACAACAAAGCATCTCTTTCGTTTGATATTTTATACTGAAAGAGCCGGTCAATTATTTTATATTTCCTTAGTTTCTTTCAGAGCAAGGCCCTCAGGTCAATGATGAAGAATATTTCTAGGGTTCTTGGTTATTTCTTCTTGTCGAGAAGCTTGTGCCTTGTAGCAATCTATCACGGTGTGCTTGTCAAGAAAGATGTACATATTATAAGGTAGAAGTGGTAAAGGGAAGAGATGACAGAAGGAGGATGAAAGCAGATGATCTCTCTAGGAATTCTATGTACATTGCTCGATAGTCAACTTCTTTTCACGATTAAAAGATTAAAGAATTAATTTTTATTATTAATAATTTTTTACTCTTTAAGTAGAAAAATTAAGAATTGTTTTAGATTAATTTCTTATTTATTCATAATTTGTTTAAATTATATTAAAGAAAAAAAAATTCCAACACAAAGCATAACAACACACCTTTTCATTTATTTTTTCTTATTTTGTTTCTTTAATTTAGTTTTCAATTATATCTTTTTTTTCATCTGTTAGCTTATTAACTATTTTTAAGTAGTAATTAATCTTTTCGATGATTTTTTAAATCTCATAAGAATTATTGTAATTTATTTTAATTTTTTTCTTTATTAATTTTTTTATAGATAGAAGAGTTATATTTGCATTATATGTTTTTAATGATGAAAATTAGTAGCAATGATAAACCTTCAAGATATATATATATATTAAAAAACCTCATTTATAAAAAATGATTGCCAATAAATCTGGATTGCCAAGTCTATGTGTATTGATCTAGAATACGTGCCAAATCCATACATTTACAAAATATTAAATAAATAAATAAATAAAATAACTTATCAGTTACATTGATTTTCTTCGAAGAAGGTTAAGCTGGATTGCCTAAATATGATGAATAAAGGGTTGGATTTGCAAAATTATTTACACAGTTTAATTTGTTGATTGGATACATCTCAATCTGTGAATTGACACTGCATTAGTAATTAAGAACTTCGAAGGTGAATTGACAGAAAAAGAAGAAGAAGAAGAAGAAGAAGCTAGTACTAGACCAATAACTTTACACATAATCCATGAACCTATCTCACAGGTCATAACAATTTCCTTCATTATTGCTCACTAATATGTTATTACTGAAAAGAGTAAATTTCTGATCACTCTATTTCTGAGATGGCTGCCAACTCTTGGTGAAGACGTCTCGCTGGCATGCGGCCTGCACTTGTTCTCTTAGGGATAGAGGAGCTGAAAGGATCAGGAGGCTTTGTTAAGTTTTCTCCTTCCCCTTCAAGCATTTGGACAACAGTTTTCATGGAAGGACGCTCTGCTGGGTTCCACTGAATGCGCCATAGCCCCACAATTGCTAGTTTCTTTGCAATTCTAGCATCTTCTTCTCCATCGATATGAAACCGCAGGTCTTCTTCCTTTTCTAAGAGATTATAAATCCATTCCGGGAAGTATATCTGGTCGCCATTTTCTGCTGTATCATCGATGTTCTTCCTTCCGCCAACCATTTCCAACACTAACATCCCAAAGCTGTAAACATCTGATTTATAGGAAACATTCCCGAAGTTCCTCGAGAACACTTCTGGGGCAATGTAGCCAACAGTCCCCCTAGCAGTCGTCATGGAAATCGCACTTTTATCCTTGGAACACAGCTTAGCCATCCCAAAATCGGCGATTTTGGGATTGAATTCGTTGTCAAGAAGGATATTCTGTGGTTTGTTATCAAAATGGAGGATTCTTTGATCACACCCTTGGTGAAGATATTCAATCCCCATGGCTATGCCTAGAGCAACACGATTCAACCTTTCCCAGCCAAGGAAAAGGTTCCTTGAGTCTGCTGAGGATATGAACTTCTGTAATGAATCATTTGGCAAGGACTCGTAAACTAGAGCTCGTCTAAATCCATCAGCACAGAAACCGATCAAGCGAACAACATTAACATGGTGGATATTTGCCATTGTTCCCACTTCATTGATGAATTCCTCCCCTTTTCCTATGGAATTACTGAGGAGCTTCACAGCTACAGTTATTTCATTGGTTAGCTTTCCTTTGAACACGGTTCCATAAGCTCCTTGGCCCAATTCATCACTGAATTGATTTGTGATCCTCTTGAGATCAGCATAGGAGTACCTAGTGGGATTCAGTGATCTGTAATCATCCAAAAACATTTCAACTCTGGCTTGATATTCTCTGTGTGTTTTATCGTTGCTATAGGCGCGGTAGAGTGCAGTAATCACTACAGTAAAAAGAAGTAATCCCAAAATCACACCTGCATATCAACTTTCTGAGTCAGGAAACCATTTTTTTTTGTGGGAAGTAATGTATTGAACTAAGTGTAAAATTGAGATGGAGATTTGAGCAGACTACTAACCAGTAATCAGTAGCTTTCGCCGCACATCTGTAAGGGATTGAATGCTTATTAGCTTCTCCCTTTAAAGCAATTGGTAAAATCATGAAAGCAACAAAGACGAAGAGAGTTTAATTTGAAAAAAAGGAAGAAAGATAGAAAGGCATACCTTTAGTGTGCGGAAGATTGCTGTAGCATTTAGTTTCAGAAGATCCACAAGTTGGATTGGACCAAGACATAGTAAGAACATAATTTTCTTCCTGCATCATACTATATGGAATTCCATATATGTTGTACATCTTGGTACAAGATAACAAATCAAAGTTACTGATGGAAATACTTGATTCAACGGCGTAAACTTCATGCTTGTAAGTCCTCAGACATGGAATTTTACCGATGTACAGAGACCTTTTCTCACTAGAAAGTGAACAATTGAACAAGGTATAATCATACGGCTAATCGTTCTTAATTTGGAAGTGAGAAGCCCCTAAACTGAAGTTTAAACGACGTTGCCTTAGAAAGCAACCTTGAGGATCCCTTGCATAAATAAGTCGATGTATATAGTCAATTCTTTCGATATGGAGACTCAATCCAGTTGGCAGCTTAAGCACTGTGTTGTTGTCCTTCGAGCAGGATAGATCAAAACCACAGTGGTCTGGTTGTTTGTCCTTGATCCGGAAAGGAAATCGGATGTCAGGGCCACGGTTTCCACATGATCCTGTGCAGTTCAAGCTTGCTCCATGGCCTGCAAGGAAGACAATGAAAAAGAAGAACAAACACGTAACCATTTCTGATGAATAATTCTTCATCTCCACACTCCCTTTGATATTGCTCCACTCACAAACATGTGGGATCTACTTATTCCGTTTTATTTAGATGTGAGCGAGCAAGCATTGCACTAAATACACGATAATAATTAGGGGTGAGCATCATTTCAAGCGGTTTGGTTGTTTGGATAAAAAAAATTATTCAATTTTAAAAGTGCTTTTAAAAATAATTTTTTTAAAAAATTGGGAGTTACCTTCATCGTCTGGCTATAAAATGATGACGATTACACTTGAATATATGTTATTATATAGTAATTAATATTACTAGTGACATTTCAAACACATGCCGGGAAACATCTATTGTTCCTTAATAATGGCAGGTCCAAGAGTAGAAGACCTGGACAGGGCTCGGGAGAAAAAGGTTAGCTCCGAATATAACTTAAAATCCATGTGAGATGCCAAGAAAAATATCTCTAAAAAACAAAATCATGTTAGTTAGATTGTTTAAAGAAATTATATATATATATATAAAGAAATCCATTTATAACTAGCATACGCACATGTGATAGAAACAATTAAGATCGACGGAGAAGAAAGATTTTAACATTTGTAGTTCAAAATTATCTCAAAAATGAATTTATTTTATATTTCTATTTCTTATATAAAATCAAACACATTTATGTTTTTTTTTTTTTATTTGAAGACATTAAATAAACACAACCTATATATAATAAAGGCCAAAACCGTTCAATTTAAAAAAAAAAAAGAGAGGGAAAAACACTCCAAGCAAGCACCGATTATGCGTTTTTATGTCTAAATGATTCAGAAAATCATTTAAATCAAGAACTACCCAATTTTTGCGTGTTCATGATCAAGAATTCAAACAGCAAGAAAAAGAGTACCATACCAGACTATTTTTCAGAGCCATATGTGGGCATTAATTGATAAACAATTCATCAATTCATATACAACGTTTAGAAGATGTTCTTTGACCTCACATGAAAAATCTTATATTATGGTTGGGTTGCTTTTTAAAGTGAATTTTATTTTTAATATATTAAAAATATATTTTAATATCAACATATCAAAATAATATAAAATTTGAATCCTCATCCCCAATTATTTTTTTATTCTAACATTATTTAAAAGCACTTTTAAAATGGAGTGCTCACCCCCAATTAGCAGAAAACTAGTTTCTATCAAGTGAATCTTAATTAAAGCTAGTTTATTGCTCATAGTATTTTTAAACTCATCAAGGTGGACTCTTATTTCTTAATTTTCCGTTAACTCCCCCTCGTCATTGAAAGGAGGGTGGTTGACGGGAAAAGTCTTGCTATGCGAAACTTCGAGTGACGGACCAATTTTTCCTGTTGTCTTGCTCGAGATACAATGAATCGAGGTTACACGAGATTGTAGCTCAATCAGTATTTAAGTCCAGTTTGTCTACGCGGCCAACTCGCTATCAGTTGAGAAGGGAGGAAAGAAAAGTGAAGGGCTCTTTCCTGTTGTCTTGCTCGAGATACAATGAATCGTGAACGAAACGGTCCGTGTTTTTGTCATTAGACTAGAGGAGGTTACACGAGATTAGAGGTCCCCTATGCGAAACTTCAAATGAGGACCAATTCATTTTATTTTATGGTATTGGGATAATTGTATATTTATAAGACTCGACACTAGAGTTGACTTGGCTAAAAGCCCTAGTTATTTCAATTATTTTTTTTTAAATTATATCATTTTAAAAAAATATTAAGAGATCATTTTTTTTTGAATTTTCTAACTGGAATTATAAAAAAAATAATTAGAAAACCATTTTGTTCGGTCAATTTTAGCTCTATGTTTAGAAATGTTCAAATAATCGGGTTAACATGCTCACCTCTAGCAATAATATCTCTATTTACATAGCATTCGCAACTAATATGAATAGGCGTATGGTAACATGTTGAATTTGGAAATCTAGAACTGAAGAAAAGCATCACGACAATATTTTGTCGTGTTTTGGAACAATAACATTTAGTAAATTTTATGTTTTTAAGGGTTTTTCTCCTCCACCATTCATTGCATCATCAGTACAAAAGAAGCCTTGTCCTGTTGACTTGCTCAAGATACTGCGAAACAAGAAAGAAAAAGTCCAGATTATTTTCATTGGACTAGAGGTTACACGAGATTGTAGCTCACCTCTGCGAAACTTCAAATGAGGACCAATGTTCCGATCTATCATTTTATTTTTCTTGCTATTCGGATAGAAGGTAGTTAAAAATGTTTTTTTTTTTGTAATACAATACATAACTTATAATATAAACTTGTATTATAAAATTATAAGTAAAATATTTTAATAAAAAATTATAAAATCACAAGTAAAATATTTTAAATAAAATCATAAAATTACAACTAAAATATTTAAACTAAATTGCAAGATCCAGTCAAGTAGTAAATAATAATATAACATAATTAAAATAAATATGAAATAAACAATACATTTATCTAAACACATTAAAATACATAATTCAAATAAAAATTTATACATGTCCATATAATTTCATTATAGGTATATAACTACAAAATAAAAATAAGAATATTATCATCAATATTAAATTAAATAATATAAAAATAAAATAAATATTATATATCAACAAATAATAATAAATAAATAATTAATAAGATATATAATCTAAAATTAAGACAGTCATTGTCGATAATAAATAGCCTTAAAGAGAAACAAAGTGGAAGCAACTAACTTGCGCTCTTTCTTCCCATGCATCCAGGATTTTTGAGGTATAATGTAAGAATAATGGTTTGGCATATGTTTTCCCCCGTGTTGACTATAGTTGTGGTCTTGGTAAATGGAGACCTTTTTATTTTTAATAGGAATTATATCCTGTAATGTGGTGTCAGGTGTGCAAAGCTGGTGTCCACAAGTAGTAAATATTATGTGTCGGGTGGGGGAGTGGTTAGTGGGGACTAGGAAGTTGGACTCTTGGGAAAAGGGAGTGTTGAGTGAGCACAACAATTGAGCAATTCTTTTAAATTTCACGTGAAATTGTGATATCGGTGTGTGTTTACTATTTTTTTTATGAGTTCGCTCGATTTTACGCGAGAGTAATTGATTTTATTGGTTTTCAAGTTTTAATCATGATTTTACATGTTTTATATTTTTTGACTCGTAAAATTATATGATTTTACGAGTTAAAATGCATAATGTGTTTTTGAAAACTATAATTGTATACTTATAATTAAGATTTGATATAAGAGTTGACCTGAATATAAACTCAAATTAATCTTTTTTTTTAATTATGAAACTTCAAATTAATCTATTTTTTTTTAATTATGAAACTACAATTTTACGAGTTAAAATGCATAATGTGTTTTTGACAACCATGGTTGTATACTTATAATTAAGACTTGATATAAGGGTTGACCTGAATATAAACTCAAATTAATCTATTTTTTTTAATTATGAAACTACATCATTTTTTTTAAATCAATGAATTCATTGGGGTGACCTGACAACCTAGTTTTTATAATATTGGATAATTGCATTGTCTGTTGGAAGAAAGATAGGTGTGATATAAGATCAAAATAATAATGTAAAGTCAAAAACTCAAGAACAAGAAGAAAACTGAGAGCAAGATATACTTTTATTAAATGTTTTTCTTTAAGCTTTATTAGCTATTCTCTCTCTTTTGTACTACTTAATAATGCTGAATTACAAGCCTTTTATAAACATAAAGTCATAGACAATCAAGGAATTAATGAAACTAATACAAGAAAATCCTAATATGATCAGAAATTGTATTATGCTAACTAAACCGGTTGACTGTTTCTTAACTAGTCGACCCCTTCAACTTATTCCACTTGGTTACTCTGTCTCAACTAGTCAACATGTTCCTAAATAGTTGATAGGTTCAACTAATTTTCAGAAATCAGTTTACTTTCAACATCCCCCTTAAACTTGATTTCTTCATAACTCCTAATATATCTCTCATCTTAATAAAAACATCATATTTGAGTGGTTTTGTGAAGAAATTCACGACATGGTCTTGTGTCTTCATATACTTGACTTCAACTTCTTTGTTTGTAATGCAATCTCGTAGATAATGAAATCTTGTGTTAATATGTTTATTCCTATCATGAAATACTAGATTCTTTGTTAATGCAATGACTAAGGAGTTGTCCACATAAATTTCAATAGACCTCTTTTATGGCATTCATAATTTTTTCAATAATTTTCTTAGCTAAATGAAATGACAAACACATGATGTAATAGCTATATATTCAGCTTCATATGTTGATAAAATCCATAGTGCTCTTTCAAGGATTGCTTATTTGAACTCCATGTGAATATTGTGTCTCCCATGTAGAAAACAAAATCCATAGTGCTCTTTCTATCATCCATATCTATAGCCTAATCACTATCAGTATACCCTATAACTTCAAAGCTATTAGAATAATCATAGAACAAGTCAAATCAACAATAACTTGATGACTTTCATATTTGAATTTAATCAAAATCATACATTTTTTCTCTAATGGCAATATTTGAATGATCCACAAAGGTGACATTACCTCTTATTGATTCATCAAGCTCTATGAACTTGTTTTTGTCTCCACACATGTGGTTGTTGGCTCCATTGTCTAGATACCACATGTTCCCTTTGTCTTGCATTCTCTCATTATGCATTAGTAGTAAGGTGGTTTCCTTCTTTTGTTTTATCACTAGATTTGCATTATCTTCAATCCTCTTGGTTTGACTATAGCAACCCCTAGCACAATGAATTATATTTTTTTTTACCATTATTGCATTTAACTTTTGATTTGCCAAATCTGGATCTCGTAGTGCCACTATTAGTATAACCAATCAACCAATTCGTTTCATACGGTTGACCAATTGAGGTTGTCATTGCCTCCTCCTCTAAATTTACGTCTCGTTCCACTTCTTTTGGTTTATCCATGTCCTCTATCCTTTTGGGAATATCCAAAATCATTTTGCTTTGGAAAAAATGCTTGTGCATCTGCATCCTCTTGAATCTCATTGACTCTTTTCTCATGGGCTTGTAATTTTCCCATGAGACTTTGTATTGAAAGAACATCTATATTTACGACCACCATATAATGGAACTTCTTTTGCAGCGAATATATGATGTTCTCTACCACATGTGTCTTTTTCATCTTCTTTTCATATCTCTTTATTTGATTATATATGGTCAGTATTCTTGTAAAGTATTCTGAAACATTCTATGATTCAAGCATATGTAACTTTTTAAATTCATCACGTAGTTTTTATAGATGTACCTTATACTATTAACTTCCTGGTTTGATTCTTTCAAAATTTATCATGCTTGCTTAACAGTGATTGTGTCAGCTACTATCTCAAAAGTGGCATCATCCAGATATTAATGGATGATTGTTGATGCTTATTGATCCTTCCTTCAAGCCTTTTGCATAACCTCTCTTTGGAATGAAATCAATGTTGCTCCATCTATATGCTCCTCAAAGCCTTTTTCAACCGTCTCTCATACATCTTAGAAATCAAAGAATCAACATGATTTTATCAAAGAATCAATTAATGTACATAATCTTTTCAAAACTTAAATATCCAGCTAACTCATCTCGATTACCAATAATTCTAACACTTTCATATAAATGCCCACAAATTTGGTTATTCTTCCTCGGTTACCAATAAGTCTGATAATTCCAATTAAATTACCCATCATCTAGTTAATCACTTTTGTTAGCCAATCAATCTGGTAATTCCATATGAATCACCTCATATCCGGTTAACCTTTTTGTTAACCAATCAATCGGGTAATTCTCTTAATTACTTAAGAAATTCAAGTAATCCATTTTGATTGCCAAAATTAATTCAGTAATTTCATATGAATTACCCAGCATCTGACTAACCTCTTTTGTTAGCCAATCAATAATTCCGGTAATTTCACATAAATTACCAATAATTCTTATTTGTAATAATCACTCAATTTATTCATTTGCTTCATTTTTTTAACATCGAATAAATAAATAAATATGTGGTTGTATGTGAAATGATGATATTATGTTTGAGAATGACTTTTTATCAGAACAAATTAAAAAAACATTACATGCTTTGCATTTCAGCACGTAAGAAAAATATTAATGAACTAAGGATATAATGATATTTGATTGATTTAGGAGTTGTGTCTGGAGCTGGTTATCAGACAAGAGGAGCTAGGTCATCACGATCAGAAGGTAGGCGATTCGTCACTTTATTTTGTAATTATTAGTTTTTCTTAAATATTTATGTTGTTTATTTAATTAATGTTAAAAGAATGAAGTAAATGAATAAATTGAATGATTACTACAAATAAGAATTATTGATAATTTATATAAAATTACTAGAATTATATGAAAGACCGCTTCAACTTATTTAACCTGATTGGTCTGTTTGAACTAGTCTACCGATTAAACTAATTTCTAGAAATTAGTTAACTTCCAACATTTTCACTATCTTTCCCTTACAACCAAAGGAACCATATCTTGGAATATCTCATGGATTTGGACTGGATTGGGTGTTTTGGTTTTTGATGAGCTGCTCCAAGAAAAATATCAGGCTCGCTGGATGTCGTTGTTTGTGGTATTGACAGTTGACGACTTTTTTTTTGTTTTTTTACTTTTCAAAGTTAATGATTCTGACATTTCGAAGGAGGTGGGAAATTATCTTCGTATGTGAAGTAGTGTTGAATGGTGGATCAATAACTCACTGTCTGCTTTGCTACTATTCCTATCCGATGACTCTGACATTTCAAAGGACGACCAGGTAGGGGTGTTCTCCTTCACCTTTCATTGCATTATCAGTAGCTTCCACTCCGAAATTCAATAGTTTTTGTTGGAGAAAAAAGAAAAGGAAAAAAGAAGAATAGTTTATGCAAAATTGTGTGTACGCTGTGCATCACTTCAGCCTTCCCCATGTTTAGAGGAATGAACGTGCCTTTGGCTTGCTACGTAGCTTTTCTTTTGCAGCTATTAGTCTTCCAAACTTGCCATTCTAGCAACATCGCTGCTCATTGTGCTCCTTCTTCATGCGGCAATATCCAAAACATAAGCTACCCTTTCAGACTAAACACTGATCCACAAAGCTGCGGAAACAATAAATATACTCTGATGTGCGAGAACAATATTTCTACAGTATTAAATTTATATTCAGGTAAATACTACGTGCAGGCAATCGACTACGGTAACTTCACAATCCGAGTGGTAGATGCTGGTGTACAAGAAAATTGCTGCTCCATCCCTCGTTATTCTTTGGCACCTGATAACTTCAGTGACGGAGATCCATACACATGGTATAAATACAAGCAGATGCCGCCAGGAGTGAGTGAACGTTCCGTTTACTATCGGGGGTACTATTGGGGGGACCGGTTACCTCCTAAACTGTCACTGCCTATGGATTTCATGAGCTGTGAAAATACGGTGAATTCTCCTCTTTATGTGGACACGGCTCTCCACGTCCTTAACTATGGATCAGGAAATTATTCCAACTCTTCTCTTGTGACTCTTTCGAATTATGTGACTCTTGGGGGCATGAATGCCTCGGATTTGATGGAACTGTGCAGCATAGAGAAAATATTTTTGCTTCCAAAGAAGAACTACACAGACAAGTCCTTTGAAGAAATACACAGTGACCTGGCATATGGGTTTGAGCTTTCATGGTACAACATAAACTGTGGAAAATGCAGAAGAGGTTGCTACCTCGACAGTGCAGACCGTCGTCAATGCATTCGTATGTAACACTTGATGATTAAGTTGCATCACTTTGATTCATAAGACCGTATATAACTTGTGATTTGAGGTGGTTCCATATATTTTCTCTGGCTTACATTTCAATTTTTCATTTTTTTGGGCATTAGCACAATATTGCACTGTCCCCAGATGTTAATGTACAAATTGTGAGCATCCATTACCTGTGGATTCTACTATAGTGCACTGATCATAAGATTCATTCATGTTCACATTGTAAAATGTTCTGACTATAATGTGGTTTAAGGTAGTTGGACAGATTCATTGGTCTTTTGCAATTTCAGGTTTGACACAGTGAAACGTTTGGTTCATCTTAACCTGACCATGGATATACATTAATTAGTTCAAGTCACATTATTAAATTGTGTGCGCTATTTTCTATTTTCTTTCGCATTTACTGTTGCGTATACCATTAGAATTCGTTTTTAACCTAAATTCTCGACAGATATTGATGAAAGCTACTGGCGACGTAAACTCGAAATAGTGACAGGTGCGACTTCTCTTTCTGCATCTCACCATGTTTGTGTATTCTTACGTGGTTCTTTAAACGACATGTTTGTGAAATAAGGATTGTTGTTTCTTGAATAGTAATTGTAATTTTGTTCACCATTTTCTGCAGATTATCTCCGCTTTATATCCTTTTTATTTGGTAAGAGATTCCTTCATTTCTTTAGTTTCGCAACATATTTCTAGTGGAGACAACAAATAAGATCACAAAACTTGATTGTTTTCTGGAAATTTCCTACACAGCACTACTTCAATTTTTGGATTTTTTTTTGTTCTGAACGTGAATGATGAACTGAAATGCGAAGAAGACTGAAGAGAAACATTGCATTTGCTTTGTTAAAGCCAATAGGCGGTCGACACGTGGCAGATACATGGCTTTTTTTTCCTGCGAGTAAAATCGCTAAATTGCAGCAGTAAAATTGTTGGGAAAATCGAAAGCTAATGGACAGGATTTCATAAATGAAGTTGCTACCATAGGAAGGATTCACCATACTAATGTGGTGCGGCTAATCGGTTTTTGCGCCGAAGGATCAAAGCGTGCTCTTGTATATGATTTCATGCCTAATGGATCTCTTGATAGACACTTGTTTTCTCGAGAAGGATCAATCTCTTTAAGCTGGCAAAAACTGCATCAGATTTCCCTTGGAGTGGCTCGTGGTATCGACTATCTTCATTTAGGCTGTGACATGCAAATACTTCATTTTGATATCAAGCCTCACAACATTCTTCTCGATGAAAATTTCACTCCAAAAGTTTCTGACTTTGGGCTCGCTAGGTTGTACCCAACAAATGGCAGCATCACGTCTCTTACTGCAGCAAGGGGCACCATAGGATACATGGCTCCTGAACTGTTCTACAAAAACATTGGACGCGTCTCATATAAAGCTGATGTTTATAGCTTTGGAATGCTGCTATTGGAAATGGCAGGTAAAAGGAAGAATGTAAACGCTTTGGCAGAAAATTCAAGTCAAATCTACTGGCCATATTGGGTTCATGACCAAGTATCTGATGGAAAGGCCATAGAAATCGGAGACGATGCCACTGAGGAAGAAAGTAAGATCGTGAAGAAGATGATTATGGTTGGATTGTGGTGTATACAAATGAAACCAATGGATCGGCCTACAATGAAGAATGTTGTGGAGATGCTTGAAGGAGATTTGGAAAACTTGCAATTGCCTCCTAAGCCTGTTTTAAATCTAGATGAGACGCCAACAAACATTGAAGGAGAGTCATCATCGTTGTCAGGTGACTCTACCGAATCAACCAGTTTGGTTGAAAATGCGTACTGAGTGATATGATGTGGAATGCTCTGCTTGCTTACATGCAGGGAATAATTGCGCTTCCGGACTTGTTTATGATGATAAACATTATGATAATTTGCAATACTTTTATCTGATTTGTGTTTACCTAATTTAGAGTTCAAGCTGCGGCTTGTTTCTTCGGTGTGGTCTATATAATCATCATACAAAGATGTTCTGTATTGTGTTAACTATCAGATTTCCACTCTCTTTGGCAATCATAGCAGTTATCGAGGATGCCACATCCTCCATGATAACTGTTACATGTTCTACATATTAATTATCGTATTTGTCTCTAGCAGAGTAATATTTTGGCTACAAATTAACGAGAGACTATCACAGGGATTTGCTCTCATAGGGATTCTGAACACAGGGGCTTAATTTCATTTTCTTCCACCAACAATGCTTTCTTGTCGATGTTCAGCCCCATGATAATTGATCTATTTTGTATAAATACGATAATTACCATATCACATTACCATATCTTGCATAAGCCACGAGGAACCAATCACAACAAAACAGGATTGGAAACCATGACCATAATGGGTGCTGTGAAATGAATATTGAAACAGATGGGTGAATTTGATGCAGAAATCTTCTGTTTCTCCAAAAAAAAAAAACGAAAAGTAGAGAGGAGACAATGAAGCTTGCTTACCGGTCATGGCATTTCACCAGAGAGCACTGCTTCTAGCTGTGAAATGCATCTTCTTGTGGGTAAGAGGCAAGGCCTTCAAAAATGCTCAATTGTGTTCAACAAACTTTCAGGATCTACTTCAATTTTCTTAAGAGAATGGGAAATAGTGATCGGGATCCTCGTTAGCTGCGGGCAATCACCCATAGTAATTTTCTTCGAGAGAATTGCATAGAAGTCCTCCAGAATAAATGCTTTTCAAATTTGGTAATTTCTTCAGTATCAAAACCCTCAATGTTTTATCAAAACTACCAGAAAGAGAGAGAAGCTCCTTTTATGTACCAAAACTTCACAACTTCCCATTATCTCCTGCATGTCGTAACAATCTTCGACTACAATCACTTCCAATCCGAGTCTAGACAACAACCAAGGAGGGAGCAGCACCTTCATCCTATGACATTTCATCCTTGTAGCTTTAGTATCTTTAGCCAATTTCTTCTCACAAAATTTGCACTTCAATAAACCATCATCCATTTTCTCAAAATAACGTCGAAATGGATCGCTTCCTCCAACCATTTTTTCTTCTGTCCCTACCTACAGACATAACAAAGAACTTTCAGAATATTGAATTAAAATGGAACTTAAACTAATTGAAAAAAAGAAGCAGCTAAGTTTAACATTAAAAAAAAAATTGATTACAAGTGTTTCACTGTCTAAACCGAAGTCAAGTTAAACCACTTCAAAGATCAAAGTGTTCTTTTCTTTTCACTTTCCCAATAATTCTACAACTGGTCATATCAGTAATTTAATAACCAGTGTGTTTCCTTTTGCTTAGAAGAATCAAACTACATAAGTTGGAAAAGAAATGGTATGAAAAAAGAGCTAAAATTAATCAAACTTAATTACCCGAGCAGCAGAAGCAGCAAGATGTTATCCAATGATTTGATTAAATCAGAAGAAAGAAGATGGACGAGGAAGAGTAAGTGTGTTGGAGACGAGTGATAGAGCTTCGGCTTGTGTGGTTGTGGATAAGGATAGATTCAGACAGTCAGAGAAGCAGATGACAGTGAAAAAAAGTAAAATGGACTTCTGTCGTTCATGGATATCATATGGGCATGTTGTTGGTCTTCCAGGAAGCGGATCTGGCGAGGGGTGCTATAGTGAAGGCGTGGGGGTAGGCGGTGGCTGATGATAGTCTCCTCGTGTGGTGGACAGCACGCCAACTTTGCAAACGATGAGAAAGAGCACGATCCACCACAAAACAGCAGAAGAGAAAGCAGCAGGCCGAGAGAGGAAAAGAGAGCAGGAGCAGAGTTGACCAACAGAGAGGTAGAGCTTGTTAAAGCAATTCAATTAATATAAAATAAATAAAAACTTGTATAAGAAGGGTAGAATTTTTTTTTTAAAGCATATATTTTAATCTAAATATAAAATAATTATATATAGAATAAATTAAAAATATTTTTTATTCTTAATAAAAAATAAAATAAATATATATTTTTTAAGATTCTCTCAAACTCACTATGTGCCAACTAGTACCAACTAGCAACTTAATAAAAAAATTTACAATAAATAAAAAAAAAAGATAAAAAACAAAATAATAATGTTTTTGAGAAAATTTAATTTTTAATGAGTGAACTAAATATATTGAGATTAATTATTACAACTTAATAAAAAAATTTACAATAAGTAAAAAAAAAAGATAAAAAACAAAATAATAATGTTTTTGAGATGATAACGAGTACAATAATAATTAATCTCAATATATTTAGTTCATTCATTAAAAATTAAATTATAAATAACTAGTCGACCCCTTCAACTTATTCCACTTACTTACTCTGTCTCAACTAGTCAACATGTTCCTAAATAGTTGATAGGTTCAACTAATTTTTAGAAATCAATTTACTTTCAACATCCCCCTTAAACTTGATTTCTTCATAACTCCTAATATATCTCTCATCTTGATAAAAACATCATATTTGAGTGGGTCTCAAACTCACCGTGTGCTAACTACAAATATTGAAAATATACCAACTAAAAAATTACAACTTAGTAAAAAAATTTACAATCAGTAAAGAAAAAAAAACAAAAAACAGAATAATAATATTTTACTTGAGATGATAACAATTAAAATAATAATTAATCTCAATATATTAAATTTAATCATAAAAAATTAAATTGTGAATAATATAAATAAAACTCTAATTATCAAAATTTACATAAATAGAATAAATTTTTTTTATTGAACTCCTATCAAAAAAACAAATTTACCAATACAAATATCTTTTCTTCTTCTTCTTCTTTTTTTTAGCTAGAATGTAATTATCAAATCATTTACTCTCTCCTAAATCTTTTCCGATAACTTTTTTTTTCAATATCTCAAAATTAAAATATAAACTAAATAAAGTTTAATAATAAAACATTAATCTTTAAAACAATAGGAATCAAATAACAAAAAAATTTGAAACTTCAAAGATTAAATTAAAATTTTTCACGTCAAAATCTGAAAGGTTGTTAAATTTCGTTTTTATTTCTTTTAATTTTTTATTTTAAACTACAATTAAATTTTAAATTTACAAAATGAGAACCAGACTCAAATTTAAATATCCTTATTAAAACCAAGCGTGCAGGAGATAATGTAAATCAAAAGAAATACAAACAAATGATACCATGATAATATAACTCTAAAGGATAAAATTATAAAAACCAAAAGATCAATAATCAAAATAAAAAATACGTTGTTCTTACTAACAGATGAATCCACAATAAAATAAGTGTTCAATCAAATCCACGACGAAAGCATGAACATTGTTTGGTGCCATAGTAAAAGATCCTTATGTTCAAGCTATTTCTGTAATAATCTCTAACTGTAATTTGAGTTCGTCACCCAATTGTAAGCTACACGTTCGTCTGTGATTCTCAGTTTTCTATTCAGACATTCTGTGAATAGTCAGTCAAAGTGAAATACAAGAAAACAAATCCCTCTCTCCTCTGCCCGCTCTGTAAACTCTCCTTTTAGGTAGCCATGACTGCGGCCACCAAGAAACACCTACCCTCCTCCGCTAAGCCACCCAAGAACCACCACTCCACCCCCAACACCACCACCACAAA